CTGGGGGAGTTAAAGAGGCTGCCACATATACCCAGTGTGGAAAAGACGCTGCCACGCATAAAAAAGAAAACCAAATCCATCATCAAGGTAATGTAACTCATGGGCTGTAATTACAATAATCAGTGCAGAGTTATGGTCTATTCATATTTATTAACCCCTCACACCAACAGCTCCAGACCAGTCCAGAATATGGACAGGGTATGAATCCAATCAGCCGCCTCGCTCAGATCCAGCAGGCCAAGAAGGAGAAGGAACCCGAGTACAGCATGGTGACAGAGAGAGGTCTGCCTCGTCGCAGAGAGTTTGTCATGCAGGTGATTCTGACAGCCGCTTAACACTGAGCAAACTAGTGGTACCTCTGAAACATCTCTGGCAGTTTGTTCTCACCTTTTTGAAGTATTTTTTCCTCCATGTAGTTCTGTAATACATGTATGCCTCATGTCCTCCTGCACAGGTAACGGTGTGTGGCCAGTCTGCAGAGGGGATGGGACCCAGTAAAAAAGTGGCCAAGAGGAACGCAGCAGAGAAAATGTTGGACCTATTGGGATATAAAGGACCTCAGCCTCCGACCCCCAAACCAGCACTCAAGACAGATGAGAAGGTTCTACTAAATCTTTGTCTAGCAACAAATACGGCAGACAGGACTTAAAAAAACAAACTATTCATTTATGTAAATGTATTGTTTCTGTTTTATTTAGACTCCAGTAAAAAAACCTGGTGATGGGCGCAAAGTGACCTTCTTTGAACCTGGCTCATCAGAGGAGGTGGTCTTAGGTAACAAGATCTCAAAGATTTGGTAGCATTAAGACTGAATAATTTATTGTCTTATATATGTCGGGCTGAAAAAGCATATTTTCCTTTAAAGGTTCCAAGGAGGAGGACTACCGTCTACCTTACTTGAGCCACCAGCAGCTGCCTGCAGGTATCCTGCCCATGGTCCCTGAGGTGGCTCAAGCTGTTGGGGCCTGTCATGGGTCCCAAGCTAAGGACTACAACCGAGTAATTCCCAACCCAGGCAAGGCCACAATCACTGCCATTATTGCCAACGAGCTGCTTTATGCAGGGACCTCCCTGACTGCTGAGACTATCCTGAAGAACAAAAACAATCTGAACCAGCTTCCCCTCGGACCCCTTACCAGGCCTTCTGAGCAGCTCGGCTTTCTGGCATCCGTGCAGTGCCTGCAGGTAACCCAACAACCTCTGCTGCTTCAGTGAACTCAGTAAGGTCATCAACGAGCATGTGCTTTATTCATACTAGAGTAATGGAGAGAAAATCTGAATGAGCATCTATTTGTTTGCAGGTGGAATACAAAGATTTTCCCAAAAACAATAAGAACGAGTTTGTGTCACTGATTAACTGCTCCGCCCAGCCGCCGCTCATCAGCCACGGGATTGGGAAAGATGTTGAATCTTGTCATGACATGGTGAGTGTTTTTTATAGACTAAATTTGATAGAAATCATAAAGATTTGGTTGAATTTTCAAGATATATCAAAACTGCAATGCATCTGTTCACAACGGACACCACACATTAGTTACATGTATTTGGATGCCCCTGGAGTATTGGATAATGGTTGATAAAGGGCAACTCACAGGACCAAAGTGCTGTAAACAAATGGCTATCAATGGGTCTCACAGTAAGAGTCCATCCTTGAGCCGTTTCTTCATTAACATAAACATGTTGAGCTTTGTGACAAGGAGCTTCATAAAAAGTAGTTATTTCAGAATACTTATAATCCCCTCACAATAACTGTGATAAATGGTTTTTCTGGAAAGAAATACCTTTTATAATGATGTGTCTGTATCAAAGCATAGCCAATATGAGTGTTTGTCCGTTTGCTTTCTTTTATATCCTTAGATGGAGGAAAAGTCCTCAGAGGTCACCCAGTTTCCTTCATGCACTTGTAATGAGCAGCTCTGGTACCAGACAATCAAGATTTAATTTAGAAAAGCGAGGCTTTTTCCTGTACTCTATGTAGAGAGCACACTGTATTAAGTGCATTCATAATACAGCTTAGTAGGGTGAGTAGAGTGTAGTGTTGTGTGAGGCAGACCAAAGGCAGCACGCTAATGTGTGGTATACTTGTATTGTTACAACATATGTGCTACCAGGGCAGTGCAGCTTTACCTTACTGGCTTATAGCCTGTATGATACTTGTGAGTGATCACTGATTTAACATGTGCTGTTATTTACCTCCATAGGCTGCACTGAATATATTAAAGTTGCTCTCAGAGTTGGACCAGCAGTCAAATGAAAGGACAGGAAATGGACCAGTCTCTCGGTAAGCTGTGATTTACACTGAATCGCTGCTTATTCATAGATGTGTCAACTTAGACAAGATACGTTTATTTAAATAGCACATTTCAGGAACACAGCATTTCAAAGTGCAGCAGTGTTCTGGATGAGCTGCAGCTATCTGATGGATTTTTAGTCAGACCTGTGAACACACAGTAACAATAATCTAGCCTGCTAAAAATAAAAGCATAACAACGTTTTTACGTCTTCTTTAGACAGAGCTGGCAGAGTGTCAAGGCTGCAGGTAGTTAGCTTTATAGTGACGAACAGTCTGTTAGAAAAGCAGGAAGTGGAACTGTTCAAACATGACAGTATATGGAGTATATAACTACCTATTTTCTCGGAGAAAAGATGCAGCCATTACATAACTTTAATGGATAAGAGTTCATGAGAGTCTAATGCTAAGGGGTTTGTAAGTCTGTCAAAAATATTAAATTAGCTTCCTGCATTTTTCTTACGTGCATGAATACATTTGGAGAAAATGGACAGTCGTGCACATTTCAGTTTTAGGTTATAGATGCAAAGTGTCTTTATAAATCTCTTTATTACTCTGGAGTTTTGTTTTGTTCTGACGGTCTACATGCTGTCCTCTGAGCTTTAACAAGTGCGGCATTCCTCCAGGGTGCCTTTTTCTTACAGATATGACTACTTAGACTCTTCATTCTATTAAAAATGTAATGATTAACCGGCCATTTGTAACATTAAACAGCATAACTGGCTTGTTGTTTAACTCCTTATGGCACTTTATATTTATTTTCTAAGAGGCAAATGTTCTCCAGGGAAAATTAGGAGATTATTTGTTAATTGTCTGAACACAATAGAAGGATTCATTTGTTTTAATGACTCTTCAGCCGTATACTTTAAACAATTGTTTGTGTACAGAGTTAACTAGTTTAAGATTCAAATTCTCCAAAGGCCTTTATGTTTTCATTATTTTGTGCTTAATAATAGTGTAGTTAATCAATTAAATTTCTCAATAACACTTTTGAATTACCTAGGACAGAATGATAGAAAAACACTTTGCTTGTAGATACAGCCTTCAGGAATATTTTGGTGCTGATAAGTTGTTATAATTGACCCTACTTGTACCTTGTCTCCACAGGTGTGGCAAGCAGGAAGTGGAAGGTGACTTGCACCTCAAACAGGCTAACTCAAGCACATTGGCACAGACCGTGGATGGCACTGTTTAGATGATCAGGTTTGGTTGTCTGTAAAAGCACTAGAGAAAACTCTGACACTGTGTTCTTAGTCAGCTTTAGAAAGCTGCGGGAAGCTTTGGGCGCTGTTGGCTCTAAAACATCACTGTTCATATTAATTGTACCAAAATGTTCACAGTTAAACAATATTGATAGGAAACAATCATTTATTTCCCTTGATGTTGTTTAATTGTACACGTTATTTATTTTGTCGCGTTGTAGAAAAAAGTAGCTGCATCCTAGTCAATGAGTTGGGCGTTTACTTAGTGAAAGAAACAATTAAGCGATTAACTGTGAACCTTTTTTTGTTTTTCATAACTTGTTTTCTCTCTGTTAGACTTTTTAACTTTTGTCTTTGATCCCCTGCTGAGGTAGTTCCAAAAAGATCTTCTCTCTTAATGGTTTGGACCTTATCTTTGTCTAGGGTGCAGCTGACGAACCTCTGTTGATTTTCCTAGAGTGCTTTATATCAACAACCGGTGTTAATGACATTACCATGTAGAGCCGAGAAGAATTTCTGACTAAATGTAGCGTGTGATGTAATGTGACGTTGTCCCTGTCAAGTTTCCCTGAGTACTCCCTCCTCCTCCTCCACCTCCTCCTCCTCCACTATGTCAGCATCCCTTCTCTCTCCGCTCCCCATGGTAATTAAACCTCCGTGCTTATGTGCACAAAACCAACATTTCTGTTGTCTTGTCTTTTCTTAAACTACCAATGGTATAAAGCCTAACTGAAAAGATTTATGTGATAACCAATATCAACTTTTAGTGCTATCATAACTGGATACTATAATCATACTGAGTCCATGTTTTCAAATCTCCTTTTTTCCAACAAAATGTTCTCAACGAAATGTCAGTAAAAGTCTAAACGGTTTCTCATGAAGTTGTTTCCTTTATGTTTCAGTCAGATAACAGCCGGTGACATCTACTCTCTCCTTGGGTAGGATCTATGTCTAAAGTGCAACAGATGATCAACTTTTACTTATTTTTTTGCCAAAGCCAAGCTCTCTTAATAAAATCTTTAATCATTCTACTGAAATACAACTACACTTGATTACATGAATGCATTGTTTCAGGTGAGCCCCTTTAACATGGATGTACTGTATGACTCCAATACGGTCTGATTTTCATGTTTACAAGAACATAAAGCAGCACACAAATCACTTGCTTTTAATCAGACACTCTGAAAACACATGTTTTGTAATCATTTTATTTTATGTAAAGATAATAGTTGCACATATTAAAGACCAATTTCCCCTTTAGGCCTGTTCAGGATTCCTTCATTCATTTGACACTTTCATGGAGAGAAACCTGTTAAGAGGAGACTTTAGATTAAATCTTAATATACAGAAATATTCTTGTGTCACATGGCAACTTGCCTGAGTCGTCATCTAGTACACATTTCTGAATAATTTGTCCTTCAATCCAAAGCCCCATCAATCTGGCCTTCTTTATCTCATTATTCATATGTAGCTGGAGGGATTTTTTTTTCTTTCCATCATATGTTTTATAAACCCTTTAAATGACATTTGATTTTACTTCTAAGGTTGTGGCTCTCAAATAGGTTGTCGCTGTACTTGTATGATTATGACACCATAATGGCACCATTAGACACTTGTGTCTTCTTGGTTTCAATAAAGGGGTACATGCACTTGTCGGATCCCATGAAACGATATGTAACCACATTGGATTCCCATGGCAACAACCTGAAAGAGAAAGTGAGCAGTAAGACGTATGAATTGGCACATATGAAGAAAAGTTATTTTAAAATGTTTATTTATGGTACATACGCTCTGCTGAGGAAAGGCAGGTATGTGAGGCGGGGATGCACACCAAAGGTTGATCGATCAGGATGGCGTTCATCGCCTGCTCCACACAGTACTGGGGCTCCAGAGGAGGGAGAAACATCTCCACTTCTTTCCTGTAAGTTGCACCAACGGACAAATTCACCGTCATTTTAAATGGCTGGATGCAAACACCTAATGAATGCTGGATGTTTTGGTTTCTGTGTTCTGTGAACAGGTGATGCTCAAATTCTATGAAGTTGATTGACCATACTTTTTCAAGATTACTTCATTCAAAATGCATGGGAAATAGTGAAATGATAGGATATTTTTGAATCAATCAAAAGTCAAGAATTAACATTTTATGTGTTTTGTTGACATACCGGATCTTGCAGCCTTCAAACATGCCCGTGTCCACGATGTAGGGACACACTAGAGTAGTCTTCACTCCTTCAATCTCGTCAGCCAGCAGCTCGTGGGCCATAGATTCATGGAAACCCACTGCAGCAAACTTACTTGCACAATAGTCCTGTCTCAAAGGAAAACATTGAAACTTGTTAAATGTGTCTTTACTGATATTGAATGTTTGCAACAGAAAACTCCCCAGACATTATGACTACAGATTTTGTGATAGTACCTGTTTGAATCGGTGGGACCTGGTAAGTAATAGATGACCTTATGTAGAGACTTTTTGATTATTTTAAAGTATACTTACTGTTAGTTTGCTGTTCATTCTGTTGCTTGAACATGACCGTGCAAAAACAAAGTGGCATACAATGCAACCAATCTTTAGTGTTTTTCTTTTGATTTCCTCTCATCAGAGGTTTCTTTACTTGTACTCAACTGTCCCTCTGCTCTTCAGAGAAAATATTCCCGAAAAATACTTCAGGCAAGAAAAAATTAAAATGTGTTGTTTTCTTACAAGTTTCTATCTTTCTTAATCTTCTTGAACAATATTTTAAAACAAATACTTCCAAATTAGAAGGTTATGGTAACTATTTACCATGACTAAAACTCTTCACTTTTGTGTGCCTTATCAACCTTAATAATCATAAATGGATGTCACAAAAAGTGTCATCGCCTAAGGACTACAGTTTCAAGGTAAGGGGATAAAAGTATAATCTGCAGAAAACCTAAATTATCCCCATACAAGGATGTTCGGTCTCAGGGTGTGTTAACTGTGATAACAAAGCTGCCGTGTCTTAATGTTTTAGTGATGTTTCTCCCTCTTGGGTTCACCTCAACACAAGCCGTGCTGAAAAGACCGAGGACGCTGGCGATGGTCACAATGTGTCCGTGATTCTGGGCCTTCATCTGAGGGAGGAAGGCCTTCACTGTCTGAGGTTAACAACACACAAACACACAAAAACATACATGAACACACATGTCTTGAAGCAGCTTAATATGAGACAACAAATAGAGCAGTGTTTATATTACTAGTAGTTGCTTGAATGTTGCTCAATGTGAAGGAGGCTTATGTTGCACGAGTGGCTTCATATTAAGAGGATTTCTGTGGGAATCCTTCAGTCCGTCGTGTGAAAGGGATAAAGACATTAACGCAATGCATTTAACATGTCATGTGTGCACAAAAACATGCTCTGTACAGGCACTGATGCTGAAGATTATGTATTGTGAAATTCAAAAGTGCATTTACAGCTGTATTACTTCAGTCAGTGCTGAATCGTTGTTTGTGTTTTACTTAAAAAGTGAGCCACCAAAAGACATTAATGCAGAAATAGTTAAATATTGTTTACTTATAGATATTCAAAATGTAAAAATTTGAAAAAGTATCAAAGCAGTGGTGGTAAAGATCACAACTCATTGCTGGTGTTTTACTTCCACTATACTGTAAGAATCACAATAGGCTATAAGATATGACTGAATATAACTGGCCAGAGAATCAAATATGAAACATAAAAACAGACTGATTTGATGGTGCATAGTGTGCCATATCAGCTGAGACTTAATGTAAGGTTTTTTTAGATTCAGTGTTGGGAAGGAACAAATGGTTCATTAACATTTCTAGTGTAAGATAAGAGGCTTTATCCCGAGTACATGTTCTGAGTTTAAAAAAAACAAAAAACAGATACAGTTCTAGACTGTTATCTTACTTGTCTATATACCTGAAAGGTAACAGGAAATATTTTACAATGAATAAGTTGTGGGCTTCCTGTGGGACATTTCATATCGACCAAAGAGTTCTCACCCAGAAGAGGGCGTGGCAGTTGACCTTCATGGTCCTCTCCATCAGCTCATCAGGACAGTCTAACATGCGCTCACCGGCCACCACTCCAGCGTTGTTCACCAGTATCGTAACATCTCGGCCCAGGTCCTTTCTCACCAGGTCTGCGTTACGATATACATCCTCCCTGTTGGTAACATCCACCGAGTAGGTGTATGCTTTACCCCCCATCTCCCGCACCAGCTTGGCTGTCTGCTCATTGGCGCTGCTGTTGATGTCCCACAGCACCACCTCTGCCCCGTGTTTGGTGAATTCCTGAGCAAAGAGACGACCCAGGCCACCACCAGACCCGGTGATCAGCACCAGCTCGCCATCGATGGGCTTGGTGCGAGGGCGCAGGACGACCCGTACAGAGTTACGCAGGATGAAGTAAATCACATCCAGCAGCATCATCTGCAGGTCCATTAGAAAAATCATGTTGACTTGTGAAACTGATGATGGGCTTAATTGTCAGAATCAATATCTAACCTCACACCGGGTACCTGTGAAGGTGTGTGTCTTACTGTCTTACTAAGTGTTAGATTGTGTGAGGATGCAGACAGCCAAGCTGGTGTATTCCTCCCTCTATGGCTCTCAGACGCCATCTCTGCTCTATTTAAACACTCTCCTCCCAGATTAGAGGAAATACCTTGAGCCCCTCATAAACCCACTTCTGTTTTAAGCAGTCAATGTATACACATTCACCAACACTGAGGAAAGTAACATGTGCCACACAGCATTACTCTGGCTTTAAGTTTTTACAAGTGTCAGGGTCTTAGAGGGACACTTTCAAAGTTCATAGTTGAGCATACTGTACACGTGAAAGACTTACATAGCATTAACACAGATGCAGATAAAACAGGCTACATATTCATATACTTAAGTAGTTGAGCATTTCATGTGTGTGTTAAAAGCTTCTCAGTGTAAGTAGAAGGCAGATAAAGGGGAGTTTGGGAATAAAATAACATACATATAATGCTATTATAGCCGAGTCTACAATTAGGTGAAGAAATTCATTATCATTTTGAATATCTTTAAAAAGGACAAATTGGGACTTTTTAACATTCATTATTAGTTCACAGCTCAATAACAGTCGACTGTCCAAACTCTTCTAGTGTTTATCTCTCCTGTTAATAATGGAGGAGTTTGGATGTTAAATAATTCTATTGTTACCACTCAAAGCAGACAAAAGAAGGATATTTGTGCATTAACCATATGTAAAAAAGAGACAATAAAAAGCAGCTTATACTTCTTATATTTACTTTGTAAACGCAGCTCATCCTGTTCATTTGTATTAGAACAGAGCTGCAGCTTTAGCTAAGCGATGATGTAATAATTTATGGTTTGGTGTTCAGCAAAGGGAGACATTTAAAGAGGGAGTTTGGGTCCCGGTTGTAACCAGTGCAGCAGTCAGAGTAATATGGAAGTAGAACATAAGAAGATTATGTTTATGTGGACTGTAAATCTCAGCATTCTGACTTATGTTGCAAGAAGGCTTCTTTTATGTGCTACGTTCTTGTTTGAACACTGCCAGCCTTGTTTCCCCCCCCTCATGTCAGCTTGTGACCCATATGCAGAGAATCATACTCACTCGTTGCATTTTTTTTTAACCCACATATTGAATCTATGTGTGTTTAAATGCTCTGCAAATGATTTTTCAGACCTTTGAGGCAGTCGGTAAGTATTGATTATCCTAATGTGAACAGTCAACCTGATTTGGATCGTTGTGAACATTTGGCGTCTTAGTTGAAAGTGATGTTGAAATTGTTGTCAGTGCTTTAGATTGTCTATTTGTCTCTATACATTAAAAGAAAAAAACATTTATTTAAACAGACATTTTTTGAAGCTGGTGGAGTTTTACATCTCACTACACTGTGATGTGCAGGTAAATATTTCTTCTCCTTAAATAACTGAAATATTTTCAGTAATGGGTAAAAGCTGCAGAGGTTAGTGTAAATGCTGCCAAGATTGTTCCCTATTGTGAAATGTTGAGTAACACTTGGAAACAACAGCAGAGGATCGAGTTGTTATACCTGAACACTGGCATGCAGTGAGCTTTGATTGTTTGCCAACAAGTTTCCCTGTTGGATATGTCTTACGAATGATACATTTTTGCTGTTTCTGTTTAAAAAAAAATGTTTTTAACCTTTGAGGCACGATCCACATCCCCAACCTGCTGTCGCTCCACTAATATATACTTATACCTTTTTGACAAAAAAATATTTTTTATTAGAGAACTGCTTGTTTATAAGAAATGTTTATTTTGATAATATATATATATATATATATATATATATATATATATATATAAGGTTGATGAAATGAGAAATGCACTGATGATTGTTTATTGGATCAGATAAAGGAAAAAAGAAACAAGTCTGTGCTTCACTCTTTGTAGACACAAACAATGGCCCTAGTTAGGGAAAGAAACCACACTTGTCATGGTGATGTCATTTTGATGTGTGTATCCACATTTCTCTTGCTTGTTTTTTTTTTAGCAGTAAAGTTTTGAGCTGTAAAATTTGGTTGTTCTTCTACTCTTTCCGTTCATATACCATCCCTGGACACACACACAGAGGATAGATCCTGGGAATCTTCGTTTGAGTGGAGGCCTACACTGTCTACACTGTTGTTTTTCTTTTGCATGAATAACCTCGGCCATAGCAGTTTCATTAATCCACTCTTTCACATGTTGAGGCACACACGGCCTGGGAAGCTGCCTGCTCCACCAACTGAGCAGAGAGAGAGAGAGAGAGAGAGAGAGAGAGAGAGAGAGAGAGAGAGAGAGAGGGGAGAAAGAGGGAGAGAGGCAGTGAGCGAATTCGCAAATATGCTTTGCTGTTGTTTTGTAAGGTGGACCTTTGACACATTTTGTCTTTTGATTGTGTGTATCTGTTGATAACTGATTAGTGAAAATGTAAAGACCATGAAAATGAAACAGGGAAAATCTTATCTTATATTCTCTTTGTTTCTATACGGGCATTTTACAGTAAAATTCAGCAAGAAATAAGTCAAAAATTAAGTTTATTACACTTTGTCAGCTAGAATACTTTGTTCTGATAGATACCTCTGATAACTGCTAAACTGAAGGAAAACAATACAGCATTTGAACTTGACTGTGAACTCAGCCCTTTACCTTCAGTGGTGAACTGTTCCTTTAAGAGATGCAGCGTTGACACATGGATCATTTCCGACTCAACGAGCAGTTTGACCTCACTGACCAAAGGCTAGGGTCTTTCATCACACTTCTAAAGGAACTTGAACAGGTCAACATTTATTAAACACCTAGACTGGACTAAGTAACTTCAGCGTTATAGCCTACAGCTGAACTGATCTCGTTGGAGTGCATGAGGTCCAGTCCTTCGTGATGACAGTGTGCAGGAGCAGCTGCTCTGTCACTTCTCTTATTCTCGCACTGGTTTTATCCCTGGTGGCTCCGGGTCAGTCAGGATGTCGGGATGCGGGTCTGTGCTGCACCGGCCGGGACCCGTCCTGTGTCAGCAGAGGATGGAGGTCTGACCGCTCCTATGGTACCTGCTACTGCGACCAGACCTGCGTGTTCACCATGGACTGCTGCCACGACTATGAGACATCCTGCCCAGGTGGGTTTGAGCACTTTTAGTTTGTGACGTAGTGAACTCCTCTTCTCCTCAGTGGACCTATCATTTGATGAAAGTAGCCTACTTTAGCCTATGATTGTTTTAAGACTTTTTTTTCAGAGTTTGTTAGACATTTTATGAATGGCATTATCATTATGGGCTTACTTCTATAAAATGAATAAATAGCCAGTAATGATAGGCTATTGTAATTTTACGTTCTTTAAAATAACAATTACATAGTAAGACTTCATCAAGAGGCCTCACTGATATATTCCTGTGCTGAATTTATCTCAACTAATTCTGTATAGGCTAATTGATCCCTTACCCAGTGAAGCTTTTGTCACATTACGTATGCAAAGGATGTTACTGCCTAAATGTTGTACTTGTACTAAATTGAGTATTGAGCTGTAGACCAATAATTACTATCAAGGGATTTATTTTGATGCAGCTTCCCCCCCCCCCTCTCTCTCTCCCTCAGCTGTGTCCTGTGTGGTGAGTGAATGGACGCAGTGGTCCGGCTGTGCTGAGCCGTGCAAGGCCACAGTCCGCAGGAGGAGCAGGACCATCGTGCAGGAGCCGCACAACGCAGGCAAACCCTGTCCCCACCTGGAGGAACATGCCGGCTGTGCAGAGTACTGGACTCACGAAGGACACTGTCATAACTCCCTAGGTGAATCTAACTGGAATCCTTCTACAGGTCTTTGTGGTTACACATTGTTCTCTGAATTCCTTTAAAAAAGATAATGACTTTATATTTGATTCACTTAGATATCATGTTTTAAGTGGAACACTTTAGATCTGTGGTTTCCAGCATGGACAAACTGTCACTTCCTGGACTATACAGTAGCTGTGTCAAAAAACATCTATGTGAAAAGATGTGTCAGACATACATTTCAATAATCCCTCACATATGCATATATAATGAACTGCCACCTTTTTTCTTCTACAACCTATCAACAGATTGTGACTAACTGTCATTTCTAAGATGAAAACCCAAAAAAGAGATTAAGATAAAGCAGCATGGAACATACTGTACTCACATACTATATAACATGCAATTTATGGTCACATGTAATGTTCTTATCATGGTTGTTCCCTCTGCAGTCCCAGCTCTCATTACCAGCGGTGGCTATGGCAACGCCAGGAAGAAAAGAGACATCCCTGACAGCAGTGCCATCATAGGGTAACACAGAAACATGTCAGATCACATCATTTGTTTCTTTATGTAAACATATAATGTAGCTAACAGGGATCCAAATAAACAAACAAACAAACATCTTTTTTGCCTTGACTTTAGGTGTTTACTGTCGTCTGAGTTTGGTTTGTATATGTTTAATGGTTGACCCTATGTATGTGTGTGTTTGTGTGAGACAGGTACTGTGTCCAGTTTCAGTTGACCTCTCTGACAAAAGGATGCCAGCAGAGTGCAGACCCGCACACACAGTGGATGCAGAACCTCAGGGAGGGGCACCGCGTGTGTGTTGAGTGCCAGCCGCCCGCTCTCGCCGCTGGACAGACGCACTGTGCCGGAGACGCAGTGGAAGAGGAAGAGAGCAGGTATGTAAACACATTCTGTCATATCACATATCACTGCTTGCTTTATTCACTGCTTAAAAAAAAAAAGATGTGAGAAAAAGTTTCTCACAAATTTAACCTTCTGTTGTTCAGAAAGTGTTTTGACCACTTTATATATATATGATATATTTAAAATAATCTTATTTTGGTCTTTAATCTCAGTGTTGACAACTTTACTACACTAATAAAGGTGACAGTTCTGCCTCACCCTTTGACAGTAAAGTATCCTATAATTCAAAAACATATAACATATGAGTCTATAAGTTTGTAATAAAATATTTTGTTTGTGTTATTTAAAACACACATTTAGAGGTGTCAGTTGGTCTGTTGCTGAGTGACAGAAAAGCAGGGCGAGGTTTAGAGGTATGAAGTAATAAATTCATTTCTTGGATTCTCCAGAACATTGGTTCCCAACCAGAGTCTGTAGGGAAAATGGTTGAGAACCTCTGATCTACAAATACAACTCCCTTACCTACGCTCTTAATATGTAGCTGAAGTGTGTTTTGATTCTTTTAAACAGAACCAGGCTAGCTTTTTTTCTGTTTCCGGTTTGTGCTAAACTGAGCTAAGCTAAACAGCTGCTAAAAGTTAATGCATTTTTTCAGTTAACAATTGTGTGCATCTTCTCCTCGAACTCTATTTACTCAAATGATTATACGTCCCAAAATATCACACAATATCTTCAAGGGTATACTTGATTAAAAATACAGTAGCTATCTAATGATAAAGCACAATTATTATTGGTGTTGTCTAGAATTGATTTCACCTTGATTACATTAGTTCTTTTTATAACTGTTGAGCAGTCAATTTTTACACATCTCCCTTAATGCTGCACTTTGGATTCTTGTGTGTGTGTTGAATATCAAAATCTTTGTTTAAACACAGTGTCTCAGACCAAAACATATTTTGTGTATCTATGTTGTCTAACAAATGTGATTAATGCATGACCTTCCCCATGAAACAATTGAAGAGCTGATTTTGAATGTTGAGCTTAAACTGTTTAAATGCAAGCTGCTACCAGCATAGTGTGTCCTAAATGTGAATAGTAACAGCAAGGACTACCACTAGATGGCAACATTACGTAACACTTTCCTCCCTCCTTCTTGCAGGAGACGGTCTCTCCAGTGGCAGGCGGTGGGAAACCCTCGCTGCAGGGGAGCGTGGAGGCGTGTGGGGAGGCTGGAGGCGTGCTCCTGTCCAACAGCCCACAGCTTCCTTTTCATCTAACCTCCTCCCTTCTGTAAGCCTCCCTCCTGCACATATTGACTCTGACACGTGTACAAAGAACAACCTGCCTGCTTGGGTTCATAACAGCCAGAATTACAAACCTGTTCAGTTTAATGAGGCTGAATGTAGGCTAAGGAAAATACTATTTCTTACTCAGAATATATCCAACTTACTTACATCATACCATAAAAAAATTGAATATTTTTGCATTAAAACAGCAGATAAAGAATAAAACAATAAAATGACAGTCAGAAATTCCTAAGCAAAATGTAAAGTGATCTGGTTTATTTAATTTTGAGTCATCCAAGGGAAATTTTGCTTTCTTAAGAAATAGAAATATCTTGAGACATTGAGACACTTTTTTTTTTTTTTTTTTTACATGACAAGTACTGGCTCTACTGGTGTAAATCACAACCAGTCACAATGCCAAAGTTACAACATGCACTGAACAACAGAACAGTTATACAGAAACAATAGCATAGAAAGTCAACAGGTAAAAATTAGTTGTTGTTTTTTTGTTTTTTGTTTTTTACAAAACAGACAGCCTCGGGACCTACAAACAACATTGTATAAGAGCTGGCTATAGGGTCGTTCAAATATCTTTTTTTTCAATTTCCCTGGAAACAGTGTACTTTAGAAAGACTGATGGCTTAGGCAAGGTTGGGGTCAATTCCACTGAGAGCTTGAAACGTAGAAAAAATATAGTTTGTTATTAATTGGTACTAGTTTTATTTCATCTCATGCTATGATACTCGTACCTTTTTATAGTATCTTGTGTGATGTGTAGTTACTCCATCAAGGCATCCTGAATGGACCCCAACCCTATAATACAGTATTAGATTCAGAAATTGTGAAAGGGCTACTTGCTTATGCAGTTGTTCTCACTGGGTTTTGGAAACTACCACATGTTCTTAAAGGGAGTTCTGTGGGGTTAGACCAAAAAAAAAAAATACTTCAACCTCTTTGAAGATAAATTTAGCAGCCAGCACAACAACAAATTCTATTTTAGGGTTTCAGCTATGCATTTACTGTACAGTTGGGAGTCTTGTAGTACAAATGTTTGAGAATCTGTGCTCTTCATCTTGAATTGTATCAATAAAAGAGAAATATAACAAGCCACTTGATTGCTATTTCTGCATGAAGCGTGGTGGTTTAGTCCTTTTGATTCACATCAAAATGTCTCCTCTATGTGAAATGTGAACGCTCTTTTTCACAAATTGTTCATTTAAATGGCTCAGTTGAAGATGGGGATGGGGACCAAAACAAAAAATAAATAAAGATGATTTCAATTCGTAAATTAGATGTCTTTTTTTGCATCATGGTAGATTTGTGTCACAGTATGAAAGTCTAGATATCAAATCTCAACTTCAAGCTTGATGTTTCTTGAACTTTAGAGTCTAAAATAATAAGAGTATCATTACTTGTATAAGGATTTTTATACTTGTGAACATTTGGCTAATATTAGCCCATAGTAAATCTCAGTTTCAACAATAGTGCTTGCTGCCTACTCGTGGATTATTGATTGTCATCTTTGCTGAGAGATATTTCAGTGAAAATGGTCCCTGACTACCATCATATATATTTAACTGAGAGTATACTTTGTGAGGGTTGTGTAAGCTATATGAAGATTTGAATGTTGTATGATTAAACATAATAATCTAGATTTTAAAGTAGTAGTAAGCAGGCCTGGCATACTGTACATTGTTTTCTTCAAATCTTTAGAAAAACATTTTGACATCTCTGTGAATTTTTAGATGTTACAGGGTGAAAGATCTTAAAATGTTGGGCATGCATTGGCTTTGACTTTTCATGACATAAAGATAAATAAACAATGAAGTAAATCAGGAACTAACACTTGACTGCAAGCCTTTAAACCAACTGATTATTCTGTTTGAGACTTGCAATGTCTGAACAAAAGGATGATAAAAAAAAAGAATGGACAAAGCTTGCATGTTCATAATTCTTTCAATGTATAAATGGATCGTACATGTCCTATTGAGACATGAAGATTCATACAAGTTTATTGTGGAAATAATTAATTAACGGGTACACCCAAAGAAGCAGCCATTAAAAATAGTATTTGAAAGATTAAAACAATGCTTTAAAAAACTGAATGCCCAACTATTGTTTGCAGTTTTGATTTTAAAATGTCTCTTTGCAGATGATACCTTTGTTTATTTTTCAAAATGCATTTTAGTGTAATTGCAACAGAGAAAAATCATCATTTCTCTTGAATTCAAAATAGAAAGACATTTTGTTATTGATAAGGTGTGTTGGAGCTGAGACGATGATGCTGCTTAAAATTAACTTGTCAACAGCTCATACCATCCATCTGTCTAATTATGTGTGCTGAAAAACATACATAAAATGCTCATTCCGTCCCTTTCCTCACAGCTGCCTATCAAACGTTTAACGTGTGCGAAAGTCATGTTCCCCCCATATGTTTAGAGTTCCCTTGGTAATACAGGATGTGTTACTGCTGCAGATAGAAATGTGGAGCAAACATAAAGCAGGATTTCCCTGACATGCATACATTCATGAAACTGTTAATTTTTCTCCATTTAGCCACAGCCACACTGCTCTAATGCCCTGGATTTACAGCACACACATACAGGCACACACATGGTTCCCTCTGCCTCTCACAGTCATTGCTATTCCTTTCACACCTCTGTTCTCTCACTATGGAAGAGCAATATGAAATGGTTCAACTCTGGGATTAAAACAGGAAATGTAATCAGGGATTTGTGTGACTCTAAAACATAACAGCAAAAACAATGTGTGCTGATCACCTTTTGTTGACTCTTGGATCACATTGAATTTATATTTTGTGACGGGAAGCGTTTACAATTGAGCCAGTTTTCCTTGAGAATTTGTTTAGTTTGCAATGGCAGTGATTGTTTTCTTCATTAGTAGAACATACCTGCTCTTGAATTACATAAAGGCAGTACAAACATGCTGTATATGTATGTTTGGAAACTTTTTATTTGGTTTAAATGGTTATGAATTCTTTATACGGATTCATGTTAGCAGGATTTTTATGGACGTTTTTTTATGGATCTTGAAATACAATTTAGTTTTCATTTTCAAGGTATTATGTATTATGTAGCTTTCAGGTGATATAACCCTTAAGTCCCTCTGTATTCTGCATGAAGCATTTGGTCAGTCTTGAAATGTGTTGTTTTAATACTGGAAAATAGAGCTATTAAATTGGTTATGTAATTTGTTTTATCTGCTTTGTGGCAGTGTAAACAGATAAAAGAGAATGCATCAATGGAATTGTACTGTTTATGGAATGCTACAGAGATTTTAGACATAAAAACAGAACAATGTACAAGGTCTTTACATCATAATGTTGCCTTTACACAGTATTCATAAATATGCACAGTGAGGAGTGGCTCTGCTAACTCGTGACTACTGTGCATACCTGTCACTTTATGAGCGCATGCCAGTTCGAGTGTGTGTTCTTGTATATGTGTTTAACTTATGTTACATGCATCTAGACCTTCACACCCAAATTAACAAACCGTCGCTTAGCTGCTGCCAGCCTCTGAGAAAAGCTGCTGTCTCCATGGAAACTAAGTGTATATATGAAGCCTGAAGATAGTCTCCCATACCTGCATGAATCTTAAGTGGGAGTGTGTGTGTGCTCATGCATGGGTTAAATTTGGGCATTTACAACTGAATTGTGGTAAATCTGACCTAGTTGTGTATACCCAGTGTTGTGCCAGTTTTGGTTTGACATTAAAAGGAACAGAACAAAGATGGAAAACTTTGCAGCTTCCAGTACCAAATACATGCATATTCCCATATTCTGAGCGTTATCTCTTTGGCTGCTTTTGTGTTGGTTAAATAAGGACCAATGAATGCTTAAATCTGCTACCAAACTCTTCAACTTGTTTTTTTTTTTACGTTATAATTTGTGTTAAATGTAAGTATAGAGAGAATACTTAAATATTTAATTTTTAGTGTCTCATGTTTTTGTACGTTGATTTGTTGGTTGTATGCATGCTTCATAAATGCGCCCTTAATGCAGCAATGTTGTATAAGCCCATATCAAAATTTCTTGGTCCCCTACCATCCTTTATAAAATGATACTGAGGTGCTAAGACAATATTCAATGATAGATTTTAAAGTGTCATCCATTCTCACCATTACATGATAACATAGGGAATAACAAAATACTGTTGAAGAACATTCATTGTAATAGGTAATGTACTGGATCCCCACTATAATTGCAGTCTCTGTGCCACAACATTGACCCTTTTACAGGATTACTCTTTACATGAGATTATGACACAGCAGACTAGCAAATCACACATTTCTAGCTTTCTTTTATCAATAGAAAAATAAATCGGGTGTGACAATCTCAAGAATGGGGAATACATGAATTAACATTTGTTCATCCATCAACATTCACACTAACTAACACACATGCACACAAACGTTATGCAGGCATGCACACTCCTGCAAATGTAAATGACTAAGGCCAGTTTGGGAATGGAGGGCACAAGTAAGTAGCTGACAGGCTTCTATAGGTCCTCTCCTATATCTCCAAGACTACAAAATGAACTGGGATTCTGTAATGGGATAGTGGGCAGCGGGGAAATGTTTCCCTGGAGAATATAGCAAACCTTTTATATCCACAACTTTATACCAATGACTCTGCTTCCACATGGATCTCTGAGCCAACAAATTGGCTGGGTGTGCTCTTTTGTATTGTGGGTATGTAGTACAGCCTGTAGGAATAAGATGAAGGAGGGGCAGTGACATTCTCCAATTTATAGTGTTTTTCTCCCAGAGTATTCAGTTATGTTCATCCTGAGCTTGGTGCCTGATGGCATGCTCAGGTAAGTTGTAACTTGAATTGTTTCCTACAGACTCTTTGTCTCTCCTGCTTCCTTTGTCTGCAGCCTACTTAGTGTGTTTAGTATGTTTGCTGTCTCCATCACATACACTCTGTACCCTGCCTCCTGTTTATTTCTACTTCATTTAAACCTCAGAGGCCTTTATCCAAAGTATTTTGACGTCCCCTCTCAGCCTTTGGCCTACGCGCCAACTCCGGCCCTACGTGATTCTCATGAGCTATTCCACGAATCCCTTCAATGGGGAACAGGCAATTCTGGCCCAGCATTTTTTGGGCTACTTCTAAATGGTTGATCCCTTTCTGGTAATTGATGTTGATGCTTCGTTTTGGACTTGAACTTGCCAAAAGACGCTCTGAGGGACTGGTGTCAGAGACATCTCGAAGGTGCTCGTCGTCATCTGTATCTGCGTCTATATATTTAC